CCCCAGATGCTGTGGTGCAAAAAGCAGGGGGTAAAAGCATCCCCCCAGGAGCAAAGGGATTGGTGATGGGATGGCATCCACCTTCACTGCCTTAGAAACATAAATGTCATGGCTGGAGCTCAATGGCACGTCCCTACGTGTCCCCGCTTTTGGGGACAACGCGTTTGGGGCACTCAGTGCTGAGAAAGCTGCCTCCCAGTGCTGCCCCTGGAGAAGGTTTTCTCCCAGTGGTTTTTAGAAGAAGCCAAAAAACAGAGCAGCCCCTTGGTGGGCAGTGTGGGGTGATGGTGACAGACACTGGTGGGAAGAAGCTCTGCAGGGATGATGTCCCTGTCCCCAGCACAGTGCTCGGTGGCACAGGGCAGTGGGACACTCGGGGCAGCCCTTCCCCACAGCCCTTGGCAAGAAGAAGACGGGGATGGGGACACAGGACAAATCCTGCTTCTGCCACCCACGTTTGGACACGCCACAGCAAGTCCTGACCCCAAGACACGGCTTCCCTGGTGTGGGCTGTGGGGGGAAAAGCACCGGGAGCCCATCACAGCCAAAATGCTGTGGAGGACCCCACTGTTGAGCCCTCTCCCCACGGGCTCCATGCCCAGGGTCAGATGAGGGATGCCCATGGGTACAGAGCCTTTCCCACGGCCACAGGGAGCAGGCAGCCAGAGTTTGGCTCCCAGAGCACCAACGAGCAGCACAGCCAGATGAAGGGACCCCCAAACCTGCACCTGCCTGACTCCTTCCCTCTGTGGGGAGCAGGGCAGGAGCAGAGGCTTCCTGTGCATGGGGTGCTTTGCCTTGTGCCGGAGCCAAAGCTAAACCAGGTTTAAACCAAGGCCAGCCTGAAAGGCGGTGGATGATGAGATGTGGGTGCTGAGAGCAAGAGGGGGGATGCAGGATGGGGGCTGTGGAGAAGGGCTGGGACACGGGATGAGTTCGCATCTCTAAGGCACAATCCACCTTGAGGCTGGGACACAGGGATGGGCTGAAGCGCAAGATGGGGTGATTTTCTCAACTGGCATCTGTTGTTTTGGGGAGAACATCTGCCTCTGAAGCAGGACTCTCTGGTGGGTTGGGAATTCATAAAGCCCAGCCTGGCACGGACACAGCTCCAGGACTAGAAGTGCAGCCCAAGAAGATGACTTTCCCATTGATTTCCATGTTTGAAAATATTCTTCAAGGAAGAAAAATACCAAATTGGTCAGAAAAGTGGGGAAATACCCAATTTTGAGAGCTCTCCACTCTCATTTTTGTGCTTTTCACTGTTATGTCTCAGTTATGGTGAACCTTATGAATTCCTCATCAGAGATGTTGGGGAGACCCAACACTTCAGCAGCTGATGTTCCAGACCCCATTTCCACCCTGAAATACAACATTTCCAGAAATTGGCTAATTACCATGTTTACAATGCTTTTTTCTCTCACAGCCCTGCTAATTCTTATTACCTCCTTTGTCAATAATTCCACTACTTCCTTTCACTGCCACGGACCTACAGTCACTTACATCTGTTTTCTGCACATGAAGCCATGCCAGTGGCAAAACCCACCCCAAAATTAGATGCAATCTTAACCTTTAGCTCTTGAATTTACCCAACAAGTCACCCCCTCAAAGGACCTTGGTGGCTTCTTCATTCCCTCGTTCTTTTTTAAAAAATACTGAATGACTTTCAGATTTAATATTATTATTATTGTTATAATTATAATAATAATAATTATTATTATTATTTTGGTAAACAGTCTCCCAAACGGTGCAGTGAAAATATTAAAAACCCTCTCACCTCCCTCCCCCATTTTTCCCAAATTAAAAAGAAGTACATTAATGTTGCATGTTATTTCAAGTGTTGTTCTTGTGCAACTGAACCAGACCACCTGCCGAAGGAGCAATTGTTTTGTTGTTGCTGCTCAGTTGAAAAATAAAAAGAAAAGAAAAGAAAGAGAGAAAGAGAGAGAGTAAGATTTGTTTCCTGATATTTCCTCTTTTTGGATCTCGCAGTGCTCGGCTCCAGGAAAACGCTGGCGTTTTCCCCGTGGGGAGAGCAAAGCCCCACGGGGCCGTGTGGGGCGAGCACCTGCCCACGCCCCACAGACCCTCCTCTCCTCATCCTTCCTTCTGTCCATCCATCCGTCTGTCCATCCATCCATCCATCCCCCAGAGCCGTGGGCCCTGCCGCGGGCGCTGGGCGCGGGGGACGCGCCGTGGCCTGCCACCGTCCCCTCTGCAGACCGCTCAGTGGTTATTGCGATGAAACTGAAAACTATGAACGATACTAATTTCTCAAGCATTCCTATGGCACTTGCATTGTTCTGCATAATTTGAGCGGGTTGTAGGGGAAGAGATTAGAGGAGGAAAAAAAATACCCTTGGAAAAGTCAACGGAAGGACCAAGAGTCATATTTCTGACTCTCTCCTGTACGACCGCTGATCCAACGCTATTGTGGCTTGAAGCCTGTCAAACTCGTGCCTGTTGTCCGGGCTGAGGTCCTCCAGACCCCGACTGTCATCGTCTTCCTCTTCCTCGTCGCGGCTCATGAAGGCCAGCTCATTCTCGTAGCAGAAGGAGTTGGTGCTGGGCAGCAGGAATTTGTTCTCCACCAAGTCCTTGGCGCTGCAACGGGGCGTGGACGGGACCTCGTAGGTTTTGTGGAAGTGGGAATAGTCTACTTTGTACTGGTTTTTCTCCTCGAACAAGACAGGCTCGAAGCGGTGGCCCCACAGTATCTCACTGGCCAGGTAGGAGCTCCGAGCTTGCGTCGTCATGGCTGTGGCCTCCACCATGCCCTCCAGGATGACGACGATCTCAAAGTCATCTGTCTCCAAGTCCTGGCGGCTGATCCCGAACAAGGGGCTGTCTTCGTTGATCTCATGGAGAATGGTGATGGGAGACACCAAGAAGATACGGTCCAAGCCTTTATCAAACCCTACGTCAATGTCTATTTGGTCGAGAGGGATGTACTCCCCTTCCTCTGTGATCCTGGGCTTAATTAGCTGAGCTCGAACGTGGGCTTCTACTATGTGGCTTTTCCGTAGGTTCCCAACCCTCCACATCAGGCAGAGTTTTCCATCTCTCATTGCCACTACTGCGTTATGGCTGAAAAGTAATGTCTGGGCCCGTTTTTTGGGCCTGGCCATTTTTGCCATTATTGCACCAATCATGAAAGAGTCGATTATGCAGCCCACGATGGACTGAACCACCACCATGAAGACGGCGAGCGGACACTCCTCGGTCACGCAGCGGAAACCGTACCCAATTGTTGTTTGGGTCTCGATGGAGAACAGAAAAGCAGCCACAAAGCCATTGACCTGCAGAACGCAAGGCTTGAAAGTATCATCTCCACCCGGGTTTTCTAGGTCTCCATGGATGAGTGCAATTAGCCAGAAAATCAGCCCAAACAATAACCAGGACACCAGAAATGCCAGGGAAAAGAGCAAGAGCATATACCTCCAGCGGATGTCAACGCACGTGGTGAACATGTCTGCAATGTACCTCTGTGGTTTGTCATCCATGTTAGTGAACTCCACATTGCACTGACCATTCTTCTTTACAAACCTGTTCCTGCATTTCCTCCTGGTGTGGATTTTCCCATTGCCAAAGCCGTTGATACCAGGCATGGTGGTCAACCTCAGCCCGTCTTCCTCGGAGGACACGATGCTGTAAGGGTTGACTCTGCCTGTTGTCATCCCTGAGCCAAGCCCACAGTGAAGGTGAAGAGTCTTGCGACTCCCAGTGTCCCCCTGACCCACCCCTGCCCACCCCCCAAATTCTCCTGCGGTGGAAGAGAAGTCCCAAACTTCCACGTCTTGGCTGCCACGTCACCACGTGGATCCTGTGAGAGGCTCTGCAATGAGAAAACAAAGACAGGGCCGTTATCACTCATGGCACAGGGACCCAAGGGGCTGCTTGGCCAATGGTTCTGATGGGCTGCATGTTGAGTGACAACCTCCTACACTGCTCTAATTCTCTCTTCCTTGGCTGGGCTGCTCTAAAAAACCACACAGAGGAAAGGAGAAGGTGTTAAAGTTTCTTCTTTCATGATACGAAGTGAGTGAACAAATCTTACTGCATTTGTGGGACACTCAACAGCTCCAGCAGATGAAAAACCTGGAGTTTCTCCACTTCACTTTTCCCACGAGCTCTGCCACTAGAGAGGAAAGCAGAGAGGCTGAGCTGTTCTCCGTGGGACACAGATACCAATAAAGGTACTCCTGGAAGCAGCTCCATCAGTTCACATTGCCCGTGCCAGATGGATCGGCGCCCAGCCCAGCGCCGACCTCAGAGCACCAGCTCTTCTGGGCTCCAGGGAAAGCACAGGGACATGTGGATTTAACCTCTGTCCCCCTGCCCGGGGATGGGAGAGGACACAGCCAACGTGCATCTGGTTGGAGAAGCTCCCAGGAAGGTACTTGCTCAGGGCAGATGTCCTGAGGAGCAACTTTCCCAACGTATCCATTGGGACATGGAGCCATCCACGGTCACAGATGGGTTTAGCTGGCCAAGTCTCATGAAGGAACAACTGCCACTGGGGAATGGGGAGCTGTTTTGGTCCCTTCTGGAAGGTTCAGCTGCAGGGTCAAGGACCTACACTCAGCTTTGCTTGGGAGAGAGGTGACATGGACATGGGAGAGGTGGCCCAAGCCTGGTGGGCTCCCTGGTGGAGGTGAGCACATGGTGGGGGAACCCACTCTGCCAGGCTGCTGGACCCCCGCCCAGCCCCTCGTGGGGCTGCATCAGGGAGTGGACACGATTGTGGAGAAGCCATGTGGCACATCCCAAGCCCCTCAAAGAGATGGCACCACAGGAACTCTCCACACATCTCTCCCTGGCACAGATCACCCTATTATTTAGTGCCATGGGACATGCCACTGAGGATGGAACCGCCTTGCTGGTGGTGAGACCTGCACAGGGCACCAGCGTGGCGGGGGAGCCTTGCTGGTGGTGAGACCTGCACAGGGCACCAGCGTGGCAGGGGAGTGGGCACAGAGCCCCCCATGAGAGCCCAGCTGGTGCCTGGAGCGCAGCGAAGCCGCCGGGCTGGACGTGCTGTGCTGGATCCGCCGGCCCCATCGATGCGCTCGATCCCTGCAATCAGCTCCAGCGCCCGGGGACACGCTGGGACAAACACACCCTTTCCATTACACAGTGTCCAGGGCCAGCCAGTGCCAGGGAGCATTGCCAGGCACAGCCTGCCTGGGGCTGCATCATCCTGGCTCGCAATGATACCCTGCACTGACTTTTACTGAAATGCTCCCCAAATCCAGCCTGAGAATCAAGAAACCCTCCAGAAGCACTGCACCACAAGCAGGAGAACTAAAGCCTGCCCAAACCTCCCAGCTGCTGAACACAGACCCATGTGTGCCACCACCTTATACCACACAACACATTTCCCCCTGTTGCAATCCAAGCACAATTATTTTTATCCCCAAAGTTGATTTTTTGAGAGCCACAGTTGTTTGTTGGCATATCAGCAGACCAAGGGATTGCTCACACACTGAATGAGAGCCTCTCCCTCCTTGGAGCCACAGAGGAGAGTAAAATAGGCACAAACAGTTAACATTAATAGTAAATATTTACAGTCTTATTGAAACAGGACCAAGGTGGCCCTGCAGAGCTGATCTGTCAGGCCAGATGCCCAGCACCAACCTGGTCTCCCACCTGAGTTTTCCTCCTGTCCATCCTGGCTGCATCCATTAATGTTTCTCCTCTTTCTTTAAAATGAGATCTGAGCATTTTGGGCCAGAAAAGGCTGCTCCTCTATCACCCCTCTGGCTCGCCCCAGGGCAATACACCAAATGCTTTTGCCACAAGAGGAAATTAGAGTTGGGTTTTTTAAATTAATTCTAGATGCATTTGAGAAGTGAACAAAATGCAATGAGCCCCCAGTGACCTGTGAGAGGATTAGCTGGGGTCTGGATTAACTGTGCTGGAAGGGGAGCTGTGCCTGGGTGACTGCAGAGGCAGCAGAGCTGCCCTCACCTGTGGTGGAGTTTCCAGGGACCCTCAGGTTCCTCATCCCCATCACTGCTCCCCCCTGCCTGCACCCCTTCCTTCCTTCCTTCCTTCCTTCCTTCCTTCCTTCCTTCCTTCCCTTTTTTTTCCTTCTTTTCCTTCTTTTCTTTCTTTTCCCTTTTTTCCTTTCCATGTCACACTGAGTTTCAGGGACCCCTCTGCTACGAGGTGATGCCAGGACAGACCCCAGGAGCCGACCCTGTTTTGGGTACAGGGACGTTCTTGTGGCACAGCCCCTTTCCCATCTGGGACCCCACATTCCCGGACCGAGCCCTTCCCGGAGCTCCTGGGGGACAGACCCCCCCGTCCCAGGCCGGCAGCGGCAGCCTGGGGAGACGGCAGCTAAATAAAGGCAGCAAAGTGGATGTGCCGGAGCAGGCGGCCGCCTGCGGCTCGTCCTTTATTTAGCACAGTTTTGTTTGGAAATACACTTTCTCGAGTTCGCTGAAAGCTGAATTTCTGGTTTGGTTTAAATTTGAAGGCTGGAGCCCCACGCTGCCGCTGCGGGAGGCTCAGGCTGGGAGAGGGCTCATGCAAACACACGGAAACTCGTGGCTGGACGGGCTCTGACAGGGGAGCGGCCGGGGACAACATCCCCGTGGTCACTCTGCATCTCCTTGGCTCCGGAGTGCATCCTCCAGCACCACCCTGGCACCTCCCCACAGCCAGAACTGCTCCAGGGGCTGCCAGAGGTGTTCCTGGAGCTACATCTCCAGAGGTGTTCCTGGAGCTACATCCCCCTGTCCCTGGAGCTACATCCCCAGAGGTGTTCCTGGAGCTACATCCCCCTGATCCTGGAGCTACATCCCCCTTTTCCTGGAGCTACATCCCCAGAGGTGTTCCTGGAGCTACATCCCCCTTCTTGCCGGCTTCCCTCAAACCTGCCTATCACAATTTTCCCTCACAGGAACAAAATGAAAACTTCCCTGACAATCCCTGCCGGTTAATCCCATTCCCAGCCCAGCTCCAGAGCAGGCAAACCCCTCTGGGTGTGGGGCAGGAGCGGGACCGTCCCCTGCTGTCGGTGCCACGCGTCCCGCACAGAGCTAACAGCGTTAACGTGTAGGAAACAAAACAGGCTCATCATTCCAGTTTCGGGAATGAGAGGCCCCGGCTCCCCGCGGCTCGCAAGGCAGAACTGCCCCAGCTAATGAGCTGACAAGAGAGGCAACAACTCCTGCCACGAAACTGCAGCAACCCAGCTCCCACGGCGGAGCGGATCCCCGCCGAGAATCCGAGTGTCTCCAGCAGTCCGCCAACTGCACGCTTAATTTTATTTATTTTACTTTTTTTTCATAAAAGGGGATGTTAAATGTTACGACAATATTCGGAGCAGCCAGCACGCTAGGAAAAAGTGCTGAGTGCCGGAGATGTCATCAGTTAGAACCGGCTGAATGTGTCAATGCGATTTATCATCACACCTTTCCCTGCGCCTCTAGACGGGACGCGTTTCGGCTGCCACCCGCATCCCAGCGTGGATTCTCCCCTGGGAGAGTGCACACAGCCGGGCTGTGCTCAGCTGGGGGCTCGGAGGAGCTCGGTTTGGGGATGATGAGTTTGCTGGTCCCCCGTTCTCGGGGCAGGAGAGGTGACCGGCCGGGAGGGGACGGCGTGAGCGGGTCACGCTCGGTGCTGCTGCCTGCCCCGAGCCGGAGATAGCGCTGCCCTGCGCCGGGAGATAACGCCGCTATCTCCCGCGGAGATGCCCTTCATGGCCCGGCAGCAGGACAGCAATGTCAGCGGCGAGGAGGGAGCTCTGTGTGCGGCACAGCTCAGGGAGCCCAAATATCCCCTGCTCGCCCCGTCCCGACAAAGCCACCCCTCACCAGGCACCCCAAAGCGAGGGGAGGCGGCTCAGGGGCTGCAGGCTCCCCGAGCCATGCCGGGGCAGCAGCAACGCCTGAATAACTCCCTCCTACAATGCCCTGTCCTTGAGCACTGCCAAAAAATTAAGGGTCAGCACAAGGCAGGCCAGGTCAGGACATATAAAGAATAAATGAGAACAAATGGCCCCCTGTTTCCCCTCCACTGCCAGGGAGGACAGGAAAGAGGTTCCCACCACAGTGCATCCCTAATGAGAAAAAACTGCTTCATTTTGGTAAGGACACAGGAGAAAAACAGCCACAGGCACACACCCCTCCCCAAGACAGCCACATACCCCCCCATTTCCAACAAGCAGTGGAGAAATTGATGTCTGCAAGACTTGGTGGCACATACAGAAGGGAAACTGAGGCACGTGGGACAAGGAAGGCCCTTGGTGGCAGGAGTGGAGGTGACAGGGTGGCTGGAGAGATGCTGGCTCATCCCTGTCCCCCTGAGCCACGTGTGGGTGCCACGGGTACGGGAGCAGGAAAAAGGGCCACGTGAAGCCTTTGTCACCACTGGGGCCAGGTGGCCTCTGTGGGGTGAGGGGCTTGTGCTTAAGCACCCTAAAACTCCTGCTAAATGCACCCTGGATCAGAGAGATCCTGGGAAAGAGCCTTTCAGAGGCTGCACTGAGCATTCCTTGGGCCCCAGACTCCGTGGTGTGATGGGGGGACTGAGCAGCCCCGTCCAGCTGCCTCCGTGTCTGTTCCAGCTCCAGCTCCAGCACCCATCCCTGCTCCAGCACCCACCCTGCTCCAGCACCCACCCTGCTCCAGCACCCATCCCTTCTCCAGCACCCATCCCTGCACTGGCAGAGTCCTGGGGCTCTACATCCACCCCTGCTGCTTCCCACTGTTCCTGCTGTGTCCCCCTGCCTGGCTGCAGGACAGTGCCATGGAGATCTGGGAATGCCACAACACCCACAGTCACTCCAACCCACAGCCAGCCCTGCCATCCCCCAGGGCTTGAAATCCCATCTCGTTCTCCTGGAAAACTCAGGATGGATGGATGTTTTTTCCATCCCCTCACATCCATACACCCAGAGAGTGGGACATGGCTGGGGGGAAGGATGAGGGCAAGGGGCTTGCAGGCCTTGGCAGGGACCACCTGCACCAGGGGCTGCCAAAGGGTGTCCCAAAACCAATCCAGACTGCCTTGTCCGCATGACACCTACCCAAACTTCTGGGGTACCCCCTTACCCCTCCCCACAGCCCCCCAGCTGCACTGGCTCCGAGGGTGGGTGTAAATATTCCAGGAAATCGGCCTGGGAAGGGGCAGAGCCCCAGCTACTCCCCAGACAGGGGGGGCTCAGCCAGGTCCCGGGGAGGGGTCAGCCCTTACCTGGTGTGTGCCCAGGGGGACCCCAGCTCTCCCCGGCCATGGCTGCAGGGCACAGGGTGCCCCAGGGCCCTGCTGCAGCCCGGGCAGGAGACAGAGAGTTTTAATTGAATTTCTAGATTATCCTGGAGGAGAAATTGTAATCTCCTTAAATCCAACCTCTGGTCGAGTCCCGTAACCTACTGTCCTGCGCCGGGGAAGGGATTTAGCGAGGGGGAGGGGAGGTTTCCCAGCCTGCTGATGCTCCAGACCCTGCACCCAGCAAGATTTGACCCACAGGACGTCAGAGATCTGCTCCCAGCAGCCCTAGGGCCCTGCAAATTAAAGTTCTGCAGCAGCAATGCCCTGTCCCCTGTCCCTGTGTCCTGCCATGGTGACAGTGTCCCAGGAGCCTCAGGAGCTGGTGGGGTTGGGACTCTGGTGATGGAGATGGCCAGAGCTGGATCAGTGGGGTCTTTGGAGGGTGAAGAGGAGCCATCCTGGGTGGGACTCATGGTTGGGAGTTGTCCAGGGCTTAGAACTGAAATACCACCCAGCCCAGCCATGCCCAAGGTGCCAGAGGGCTGTGCAAGTCCCCAAGCAAATCCTGTTCCCTGCCCAGGCTGTGGTGGGTGCCTCCCTCCCAAAAAAACCATCCTTGGATCGTGTGGGCCAGAGGATGTGCCTTGGGAGGGTTGGTGACCTTGCATCCATCACACGTCCCTGGTCCCTCCTGCATGCTCCCAAATCCGGATACCTGCTGGGCTCCAGCCCCAGCCCCAAACCTCCCAGGGATGGGGCTGAGGCAGACGATGGCAGGGCTGGAATCAGTCAGCCACGCTCCTGCCTGACGTAGCTGGGGCCTCTGCAGGGACATGGATTTCCGCTGGGAATGGCAGGTTCCTATCCAGCACATGCCAAGAGGCTCAGGGGAGAGGCAACACCCCTGCCCCAGCCCTGGCCCTGACCAAGGGGGGAGCATCCAGCTGCTAAAAACCACCGTGGGAAGAAAGGGAAAAGCGAGGCAGAAAGGGCAAATGTCTCCAAGTGGATTTTGTCACCAACCAGATGGAAACGAGCTGAGGGCCACAGTGCTGAGGGCTTCCTATCCTGAAGGTAACACCAGTGATTGGAAGCATCCCTGGGATATCACAGGGACGGATTATTTCGAGAGCCCTCTCACACCTCAGGGTCAGAGGCAGGAGATGATGGATCTGGATCCATTCATCCTTGTTCAACAAGACTAACCCTGTACCTCCTGCTTGCCAGGTTCCAGTGGAGGCCTCTTTCCCAAATCCCATTACTCCCAAGGCAGGTTTCACTTGTTCTCACCTAACACAACCCCCCCACTCCAGGAGCCGTGTCTCTGCTCCAGGGAAATCGCGAGTGTGGGCAGAGCCCGCGCCCAGGAAATGTTTATCCTGAAGGCACAAACACAGGAAGGTTGGGAGCCATGGAGCTGCCAGCCAGAGCCAGGGGCTGTGGGGAGAGCAATGGCATCTCCCCACAGTGACATTCCAGCTGGGAATCTGCATGGAAAGGAGCGGGATGACCATGAAACCCAGCTTAGGATAGACACATCCCTTCCAGCCAGGAGAGTTGGGATGTAAGCAAGGCTGAGCCATCAACTGCTCATCAGCACCCTCCACCCTTTTTCGGACCTTAAACCCACTGTCGTTCCTGCTCCACCAAAACATTAACAACTGCTCAGCTCTCGGTGAGAAATGCAGCCCGTGTCCTGCTATCCCAGGCAGTTTTCCTGGCTCCATGGCAGTGCCAGGCTAAAGCTGTCATTTCTGAAGCGCCGTGTTTCCAGTGCTCTTTGGCACTGCCTGGATTAAGGTGTCAGCAGAGCCCTAAACGTGACTGTTTACCCCAGGAGGAAGGAAACGGGGAGGAAGGACATGCCAAGCTCGGGGAGAGCCGCCCTCCTGGCTCTACTTACCCCGCGGTCGCAGCGAGAGCCGCAGATGCTGAGCCCGGTGCCGGCGGCCGGGGGAGCGGAGCGGGGACTTTGCCGATGTCCTGCCTAATTGCTCCCGAGCTCAGATTACAGCCTCGCTTCTTCCCTACATGTACAGGAGATGGCACCTCGGCCGCGGCCCCGGGAGCCACCGCCAGCGAGGGGGATGTGCACCTTCAGCGGCATTTCCAAGGGGCACGGAGGGGAATCGCCCTGTGGCAATGGTGGGGAGCCCACGATGCCTTGGCGGTCCCAGGGGTGTTGGAAGAGAAGCAGCTTGGAGGAGATTTCAGAGATTTTTGGGAAGTGAAGAAGCAGCCAGAAGGATGAGACACATTCCAAACTGGTGGATCAGACAGTGGTGTCAGGCAGTCGGTGTTCCAAGGCAAGACCACTTTGTTCTTGCTGTTTAATGATGGCCGTGACACAAACCCCATCTTCTCGGGAGAGGATGAAAAATCACCCTCCTTTTCTGCTGGGGATGTCCAGCTCCCCTGGCATGCTCGTGATGCTGTCCAGCATCTTCAAGACAAAAAAGGCCCTTGCACTGTTTTTGCAGCTATTGGTTTTCCTCCAGATCATGGCTCTGCCCGCAGCAGTTCATGAGTTTCAGTGTCTTCGAAATCCTGAAAGGGCTCCCTTTAAAGCTCTCATTCCTCAAGCAAAGCCCGTTTGGAGGAAATAATCTTCCCAGTGGGTAACAGGTTTCTGTCCCAATGTTTCTGCCTTTTCAACGCTTCTTTGCTGTCACCAGAGAGCTGGACAACCCCAAACTTCAGACATGACCCCAAGCCCAAGTAGCTGAAGGGCAGCAAAGGCAGGGCAGGGTATTTTGGGGACCGTCTTTATCTGCTGCATGAAGATTTAGCACAGGCGTTGCGTAACGCTGGGGGGGTCACTGCTCTCGTCCCCTCTCGCCGTCAGAGATCAGAGACTCAATTAATCCTCCCTCATTCCCTGCCCACGGGGACCAGCCATGGGTGCCCTCTCAGCCTGGCCCTGGCAGCAAGAAGTCAAATCTCTGCCCGATGTCAGCATCCGCTGATGTTGGTAGCCCACAGCCTGGGGGTGACGTGCTGTGGGACACTCCACTGCCACATCCCAGGGCACCCATTGCCACCACCCATGGCTACCATTGTTCCTCCCAAGCCACCCACCTTGCTTGGAAAGCTCTGTTCAAATTGAGGTGGCCATGAAGGAACCAGACAGACATCCCTAAAAGGATTCATTATTTCTGATTCATTATTTCATTATCCCAGCCTCGGGTTCCGTTGTTAGGGGCTCTGCAGAGACAGAGCCTGTGGCAGAGATCTGGGCATTTAAGGCATCTAAAAGGTCGTTTTTAAACCATCAAGGTTTGGTGCACATCTGCCCGTGTTTCCCCTCTGCTCCTTTGCACAGAGCAGGTCACTGGTGGGTGGCTTGCTCAGGCACACACTGCAGGATCAAAACAGCAATGAAGGGATCCCTACTTTTTTTTGGCCAGCCCTAAAATAACAACCCCCACGTGTGTCCTTGTGCAACCCTACAACGAACAAGGCAAGTGCAAAGCCTGGCGTTGGCGAGCCCGGGCACTGCTGTGCACTGCACACACGGGCTGACAAGGAGAAGAGCACCAGCAGGAAAACCCAAAATGCTGCCACAGGAAGACTTGGGGAGGTAACGGTGGTGTCATGCTGCTGCCAGCCACAACAGCCTGCAGAACACCTGGGGTCCTGGTCCTGCCCACCAGCATCCCTTGAGCAGTAAAAACAGACATCACACAGCACCCTGGCATGGCTGGGGGGCCGTGATGGCAAAGGGAGGGCACAGAGCAAAAGGACCCCGTGGCTGGGGCAGGGGCCAAGTCTGGTGGCACTGGGGAGGATGACAAGTCTGGTGGCATTGGGACAGGGTGACATGCCCCTGGTGAAGAGCCTCGCGGAGAGTTACACAACGCCGGCCCCGCCGCCCTTGGCCGTGTGTGCCGTGCGTGCTGCTATCGACACGGCCCCGGCCGCCCTCCGACATCCCCGCGGGCACAGAACTCTGCAAGTGGCGTAAATGCGAGTGCACGTGAGCAGGGGACCTGCTGCAGCCCCCCCTCAAAGCCTGGAGCTCCTGCAGTGGTCAGCAGCCGTGCAGCAGCACCCCACTGTGCCCTGGCTCGGCTGTGCCGTGGCAGGGGGTCGGGGGGCTGTGTGGAGCAGGGGGGACAGGACTGGCACCCACCCCCGGCATCCTGCTGGGAAAACACAGTGGCTAAGGCACTGCATGACCCCCGCCCAGGGACTTTCAGGACATCAAAGACCAGCAAGAAGGACGCAACAAATTCAAACCTGGGGGCTGTGATACCAGATTAGGGCAAGGCAGTGCTGCAGGCAGGACCTTGGTTCTTTGGTCTTGCCACTTAAGGAGGTCTCTGAACCAAAACCACCCCCAAGCCTATTTCAGGAGAGGAAGAAAAATCCCCCTCTGTTTCTTTTGGAGGGGAAAAAACACTCTCTGCTCCCACAGGCAGCAAGGAGCTGCCTGAGCACAGCAGCAGGAGAAGGAGGGATGCTTTTGTCCATAGAGGTGGGGAAACTGAGGCACGGTGGCTGGAGAGGCCTGAGCGTGGGGACTGGCAGCAGCCCTTGTCATCGCCTTCCCCTCTGCCTGGCCTGGCCCCAGGTCGAGATATTTATAAAGCCGATAAGGGAGCAGAAAGAATTTTCCAAACGCCGAAGTTACGTAAGCTCTCCTCGCCCTCCATGGACATCGCCTTTAATTATAGGCTTGGTTTGGGGGGGAGCCCTCCGTGCTGGGGCTGGTGGGGGCCACCACTGCATGGTCACCCCAAAGGGTCTCACCCTCCTCTCTCTCACCACAGAGAGTCCCCAGGGCCAGGCACCAGCCTGTGCCAGCAGTCACCCTGTGGAACCCCATTCCTGAGGGACCCTGGTGGTTTTGTGGCCATCTCCCCATCCTGTGTAGGGGACCCCAGGTTTTAGTCTGGGTTCTGGGTGGCTGAGCCCCCCAGGGTGTGCACACCCCTGCAGCCCACCCCAGCACGTGCTGGATGTCACGGCAGGTGACAACCTGAGCACAGCTGGCATTGCCATGGTGACAATCGATGGCTGCTGCTGGGAGGACTCGTGTGGAGGTGCTGCACCAGCACCTGCCCCCCAAAGTGCTGACCCCCACTCCAGACACTGCAGTCACCCCCTGCCCTCTACCAGCCCCATTCCCACCACTCTTTACCCCATTGCACCTCACAGGCGACTTCCAAACCCTTCTCCATCGCCTCACAGCTGCCTCCAACTCCACCAGCTGTGCCTCAGTTTCCCCAGCCCTGCGCTTGCTACCCCAGGGGAAGACAGAGTCTCTTCCCTGGGATATTTTTCTCTCGCCAACTTCGGCCAAGGCTGCAGAGTTGGAGGGATGCTGAGCGAAGGCTCCGTCGCTGTGGCAACCCGCGGCGGCCGTCGCCAGGCGACCGCCCAGGGATGCTGCAGAGATGCTCTGGAGGCAGAGCGAGAGGGACCAGGGCGGTGGGGGATGTATCCATAGGGATGCCACCCCCCTACTCCCTTTCCCTACCCAAACCACAGCCTGGATCTTTGTCACAGGGTGTTAAAACGCCCTGAAAACAGCCACTGATTTGACTCAGGCAGCTGGCTGAGCACTGACAAGCTCGTGGCAGCACAGGCTGGCTGGTGGGAACACCAGCAGGATGCTCGCGGGTGGGAGCAGGGCCACTCCGCTTCCAGGGACACCTGCAGAGCTGTGGAAACCATTGCTGGAAATAAGCCCGTTAGCTTCTTAACCCTCATTAAGCAGCTTAGGGGGGACACGCGCCACCCTACGCAAGCCCGGAGGGGGAGAAGGCCTTGCCAGGGCGAAGGGGTGACGGGATCTCAGTGGGTGCTGTGGGGGTGGCACGGGGGGCACGGCCCCGTCCCTGCCCTCGGCGAGCCGCGCTCCTGCATCCAGCCCCCCTGTTGCTCCCTGCCAGCCGGGCCCCTCGGCAGCTCCCGGCAGCGCAGAGCAGCAGGCAGGGATGGTGATGATGGCATGTCACACCCGTGTGACGAGTGTGGGAGGTCTCAGCCGGCGGGGGGAGCGGGGTGGCGGTGACAGCGCGGGGCGACGGCCCGGCCAGCGCCCGGCACCGCGCCTGCGGGACGTTTCTAATCGCTCCGCTTGGAAACGCTCCCGTTTTTGCATTTGTTAAATTAAAGGATGTCAGCGTCTGATGCCAAGCCCAGGCTCCCTCGGAAATTTAAACTAATGACAGCGAGGAAAACGAGCTGAAACCAGAGCACAGGCGCTCCCAGCCGCACCAGCCATCTCTGTGCCGGGGTTTACATGGCAGCTTGCACAGCACCAACCACCACAAAGATCTCAACTTTCTGCCCCAAAATCCAGCCTCGCCCACTCTGCTCGGCCAGAGGGTGCATTAGTGGCACCTGGGCAAGCCAGGCTGTTGTGCTGGGGACCCCAGAGACCCCCATCCTCCTCCATCCTCTCAAAGGGCAAATATCTCCCTCCTTCCAGGGTGCCGCTGCCCTGGGCAGTGGGGTTTATCAGCACGGGGTGGAGGTGGGAGGGCAGACTAGCGAGTGCGATGTGGGGATTTCTCCAGCTCCGACGATTCCTACAGCCGGCTCCATCCTGCCTGGCCCTGTGCCAGCAGGCAGCGGGGTCCTGGCAGAGCGCGGGGGCTGCCGCTGTCGCACGGCCCCTCGCTGCCCCTCTTCCCCACGGAAATACCTGGGCTCAGGCGAGGGCTTCGCTCCCGGCGCTCTCCAGGCTCCGCTGGGGTGGTTTTGTGCTGCAGCTGAGTGAAACCACAGAGTGGTGGTTGTATTTTTTTTTTTTTCCTTTTATAATTTTCTCGGCGAGATAAAATTAAACAAACAAGCCCTTCTGGGAGCAGCGCGAGGAAGGGAGCCTGCTTCCCTACAGATGTGCGTGTCCTCAGCTATTACAACCACGGAATTAAGCTTTCCCTGTGGCTGGGACATTTGCACAATCCCACTCGTTCGCCTCCTGCGGTTTCACTGGTAGGAGACTGGCTCACTCTGCAGCCTCCCTCCCCATGAGGTCATTACCCAAACACCTATTTTTCACAAAAACATTGAGAATGTTGGGTTTTTTTTCCTGACCTCACCATCCTGACATCAAATTAGAGTGGTTTGGAGTGCAAGGCTGGGAGAGCTCAGCGAAGCAGAACATGCTGAGGAGAATAGAAGAGAATAGAAAATGAATAGAATAGAAAATTAATAGAATAGAATAGAATAGAATAGAATAGAATAGAATAGAATAGAATAGAATAGAATAGAATAGAATAGAATAGAATAGAAATGCAGCCAGACATTCCCCAGGGCGTGGGGCTGCAGAGGAGGGGGAAAGCTGTTGGTCAGGAGGGGAGTGGGGTCTCCCAGCTGCACTCCCAGCCCCGCCTGCATCCCCCAAACCCGAAAAGGAACAATCATGGCATAGGACTTGCAAACACACCTAAACTTCCCAGCTTCATCTGCCTCAGGAGCCAGCACAGAAGCGTTGCCATAGCTTTGAGGACCACCGGTGGGTTTTGCTGCACAATCTGGACCACGGATCTATGCAAATCCCCAAGGCAGAAGTCTTTATGGAGGCATATGACAACCGAAAAAGAATAGTGCTCAGTGCTCTACTCCCACACGCCACCCCCCAACTTCACCATCATTTAAATCAGTCTTAAGTTGGAAGAATTCAAATCAACACTGTCGTCACAGAGCCAAGCAGAGAGGTGACACAACTTGGATGCTGCCAGGGAAATTGCCCCCCTGAGACTCCAAACTCATCAGCCCATCCCTTTTTTTTGAAACCCCATCGAGGAAAACAAATGAACTGGCAACTTTCTGCCCCCAGCTCTCCATTGCCTCTTGCCTGG